TGTTTTTCTTGTGGCTGGTTCTCAGAAGAGCACAAAACAGCGTGGACAGAAATACATATCTTAAGGATTGTTGCAATGAAAAAAAGTACGATTTTTGTGCCTTCTAACATTTAGTAATTTTTTTTTTACCAGAATCTTTACACAGTTTGTGATCTTGCTCTGGGACTGATCCTAAACAAGGTAGCTGTCTGACTCAGTAATTTACTTGTTCCTCCTCGCAGTTCATTTTCTTTTTCTGTTCTTTCTGTTTCCCATTGCGTCGCTTACTTTTGACGTCCCGTGTCGATGGCTTTTATATAAAATCCAACACGTTGCAGTGAACTTTAAACTGTATTAATTTTTGTCAATGTTTGTTTTTTTCACTAGGTCCACACTTTTGTTCTAAAAGAATTTCCCGGAAATCTTGTATTGCCAAAAAGGTTCTTTGTACCTTCCGAGGTGAGGGCTTCAACATCTTACCTCTGCTAACGATGTAAACGCTTTAAAAAGATGGTAGCTAACGCGAATAAGGTGTCAAGGGACTCATTCAGAAATGTATTCTGTTCACATCCACTTGTGGTGCGCTTTTCTTGACGACTCTGAAATTGGTAAAGGTCACGCAATGGCGCTACCAAGAAGGAGCGTTGCGTTATGTACTTTTATGTCACCAGCGTCACACAACGGATTCAGTTTCAATAAGTGTTTTGTGACAGATTTGAGAAGTACCTTATGCTTTTTATGGTGACACGATTTTTGAAGTACAGGAGTCTGATAATTTTTCAGGCAATTTTTATAATGCTTTCTTGATGTCTCCTCAATACATTTTTATCATGAAATCTTTGGTTTTTTGGAGTAATAGAAACTTTTTTCTTTTTCCATACGAATAACCTTTATGTTACGTTTGCAGGGAGGTGGTCCTAACACTAAAAATTACTTACCGAAAGGATTCCAATTCACAACTGCAAAGGTATTTGTGGTGCAGCTTTCCTTGATTAAACCTTAGCAAGACGCCTGAGGGCGTTTACGTGAGATGCTGCTGTCTGTGTTAAATGTAAAGATTAGTTGCAAATGTCACTGATCCCTGAAGCCGACTGATAGTCATAATGGAGGTGGTAAAAGCGCTTAACAAAAAAGTTTTAGTTACCTTTATTTAACGTGAAAATCGGAAATTATGGCAAGAGGCAAGCACTCTCGTGCACATCGCTGTTCCATCGCGCTTGATCAATCGTCTTTACGGAACGTTCACGTTACTGAATCTAACAGCAGACGAAGATCACTTGAGTACTTTCCTCTGCGAATTAATTTTTAAACCGCAATAATTCGAAGAAGGGAAGTGATGTTTGTGTAGGGAAGCCCCGTTTGAGCTTTTCTAAATGCCTTCCGCGCGAAAGTAAAGACGTCATGCATGCTTTAAAAATGTCCGACGTGACAGCTATTTCGACACTTAGTGGGCATCCCACGTAATTAGTAAGTTTTAAGTCAACGTAAGCAACGTGTGGCATTCTAATGAGAAGGAACTTGATTTAAAGAGTATTAACTGTTTATTATGACTCGTCATTTAGGGACAAAAGAAGGGAAGCGCAGTTGAGTCGAAGTTGACGCCATCAAAGTCATCATCTAAAACCTCCGCCAAGAGTGACAAGAAAACACCAGTGAAATCTCAAAGCAAGTAAGGATGAACTCAATTTGGTTTCCCCATTCGCTCTGACGAAGGGCTAACGCTCGAAGCGTCAGCTTTGAAACTCTTCCCCTTACGTTATCAACTCAGTTGATAATACGAAATTACACTGTTATACTCTCCCACCGACGCAGCACCACAGTTTCTTTAGAAACTTACCCCCTGAATTGGTCTGACTTCACTCTTAGGAGATACTGGGGCTGTCTACGAACCCTGTTTGGGATAATTTTGTTATGTGCCTGAGTAGGACAGTTTCCTTTATCAGTACATCGACCCTCTCGACCCCAGGAGTATATAT